CAACAGCATCAAAATGTTAAATGCTCCTATTCGTTATGCAACGCGTGTGTTCATATGGTTAAGATTGCTGGTAATTAATTCAGAGTCAATAAATTTTCTCCGTGTTGTTGTCGTTGCAGTTGTTGTAGTTGTTGCAATTGTTGTTGTTTTTGTTGTTTTTGTAGTTGTTGCTGTAGTTGTTGTTGATGTTATTGTGACGTTGTTGTTGTTGTAGTTGCAGTTGTTATTGTTGTGACGTTGTTGTGACTTCTAGCCCCATCATCATCGTAGTCACCATCACCATCATCATCATCACCACCACCACCATCATCATCATCATCATCTGCGCCATCATCATTATGGTCTTCATTCATTTCTTTCGCAATTAATCATTCAATCCAAATTTCCTCCTTGTTAATTCAACAACAACAATAACAACAACAACAACATCATTATCATCGTCAACATCGTTCAAAATATCATCATCATCACCATAAATCACAACATCACTTCCGTCTTTTCTTTTTCTTATTGTCATCGTCATCATCGTCGTCATCATCATCATCAACATCATCATCATCATCATCAACAACTGCATCATCATCATCATCATCAACAACTGCATCATCATCATCATCACCTCAACCACCATTATTTTTCTTCTTTGCTTGGTTGACAAAATGTAAACATAAAGTATGTATGTCGTTTGGGCGGGTTAATTTATTTCTTTATTTGCACAATCTTTCATTCGTTCATTCATCCGTTCTTTCGTTCATTCATGCAGTCATTCATTCATTCATTCGTTTGTTCATTCATTCGTTCGTTCGTTCATTCATTCATTCGTTTGTTCATTCATTCGTTCGTTCATTCATGAAGTCATTCATTCATTCATTCATTCATTCGTTTGTTCATTCATTCGTTTGTTCATTCATTCGTTTGTTCATTCATTCGTTCGTTCGTTCATTTATTCATTCGTCCGCTTTTTCGTCCATTCATTTATTCGTTTTGTCATTCTTCCATTAATGCGTTCATTCCTTCAATCTATCATTCAATGTTTCGATTTATTCTTTCGTTCATTCATTTATTTCCTCCTTCAATCATTCCTCGATTTCTTTATATCCGATCATTTATTTCGGCGGGTTTCCATTCGTTTATTTAGTATTTTGTCGTCAATCATTCCTTCATTCATTCAATCAATCTTTCGCTCACTCATTCATCCGTTCGTTCATTCATTCATTCGTTCATTCATTCATTCGTTCATTCATTCACTCATTCATTCATTCAATCACTCATTACACTTCCTTCGTTAGAAACTTTCTTTGATCTTGTGACGTTCGTCGTTACTTCTATTCATTCCTTTTATCTCCAACATAATCCATCCGTCCATCCGGTCATCATCAAGTTGATTGTGAATATTCATTCGTTCGTTCGTTCGTTTGTTTATTTGTTCGTTCGTTCATTCATTCATTCATCTATTCATTCATTCATTCATCAGTCTCTCTGTCAATCTACACACACACAAACACTCACACAGCCTCGTACACACACGTTCACACACATTCAATCACGCACACACATACAAACACACACACACACACATACATCATAAATATACAATATATACATTTGAAATCATCGTCATGATTTCCGTTTTTATAACCACCATCACCATCACCACCATCATCATCTGCCAACAACAGGCAGTCGACTATTTCTTACGTTATGATGACGTCATTAGGACGCTCGAAAAGTCACGTGGGCGACGTATTTATAATCACGTGATTACATATATATATATATATATATATATATATATATATATATATATATATTATTTTTGTAACATCATTCTAATATTAATTTCTAAAGCGAGTTGCGTATTGAAAATCATCATTATCAAGATCACTCAGCATCCATATCATCTCCATTATCAACATCGTCGTCATCATTATCATCATCATCATCATCTCCACCACCATCGTCATCATTATCACCATCATCATCATAATCAACAACGAGAGCATCATTATCATCACCATTATCACCAACGTCATCTCCATCATCATTATCATCTCCATCACCATCGTCATCATAACCATCGTCATCATTAATGACAACATCATTATCATCAATAATCCAGATCTACCAAGTGCGGGTTAGAAAATTATTAAATAAAACACGTTTGACGCCACGTGATTGCATTAACCGTTATGTAAACTCCATCGAGCGCTATATAAATCCCGCTATCGGAGGTCACGTGACTCTTGACTCGGTGACGTCATTTTTCATTTCCTGTTGGGTGTCCGCCATGTTTTTTTTCTGCCTTTATAACAATAATTTCCTTTTTGATACTTTTTATTTTATGCTCTTCAAATGTCAGATTCAGATGAAGTGATAGGAGTAGTTAAGTGTTGTTGTTGATGTTGTTGTTGTTGTTGATGTTGTTTCTGTTGTTGCTGCTGTTGTTGTTTATTGAGTTATCGCCTTTCATTAATCAAATAAAAGATTGAATGAACGATGGAAAGATTTTTAGCCAAAATAAAATTTTCTTTTTCTCTTCTTCTTCATCTTCTTCTTCTTCTTCTTCTTCTGCCTCTTTTTCTTCATCTTTATCATCTTCTCCTTTTTTAACTTTTTTCACATCTTCTTCTTCTTTCTCTTCTTCTTTCTCATTTTCTTCTTCATCTTTTTTTTCTCTTCTGCCTTTTCTTCTTCATCTTTATCATCTTCTCCTTTTTTAACTCATCTTCTTCATCATCTTCTTCGTCTTCTTCCTCATCATCTTCTTCTGCAGTTTTTACAGAGCTTCATCCCTGACGGGCTCTCTCTACGACTTTGGTTTCGGCTGAATATCTTTTCGAACGGCCCCTAGAATTCAGTTTGATGTTGTTCTTGAAAGTTCTTATTTCCTTAATGTGTGAAACGATTTATCCGTGATTTATTATTACAATTTATTCATTTCCTATTTTTTCGTTTTCAAATTTTTAGAAATTACTTCATAGAAAAATTATTGTGTAAAATATAATATGAAAAAGTATGAATATTTTTGTTTGGAAAAGTAAATATGAAAAAGTATGAATATTTTTGTTTGGAAAAGTAAAAATAAACTAATTATTCAAATGAATTAATTAATTAATGGATAATATATTCATATGACATCAACAGGCTTCTCAAATGTCGACAATATAATTCTATGCAGTGACGATGGCGATGATGGTAGTGATCGAAGTGATAATGATGTTCACGCTACTGATAATGATGCCAATGATGATAATGGTGCTGGTAATGGTGATGTTGATAATGCTGTCCATGATGATAATGATAATGATGATTTCAACCACCATAACAACAACGATGATGATGTCAACCACCATAGTGGTGATGATGATGATGGCGACGGTGCTGATGATGACGAGGATGAAAAGTTGGACGACATGGAGCCGTCAGCATTTGGAGGAGCTATGGAAAAAGTTAGAAAAACTCTCGAGCCACATTTTGCAATGATTACGTGCTATTAACAAAATGAATAATTATAATATTGGTAATAACAATAATTAGTAGCAGTAGTAGTAAATAATTAGTAGCAGTAGTAGTAGCAGTAAAATTAGTAGTAGTAGTAGTAGTTGTAGTAGTTCTAGTAGTAGTAGTAGTAGTAGTAGTTGTAGTAGTAGTAGTAGTAGTAGTAGTAGTAGTAGTAGCAGTAGTAATAGTAGTAGTAGTTGTTGTAGTAATAGTAGTAGTAGTAGTTGTAGTAGTAGTAGTAGTAGTAGCAGCAGCAGCAGCATCAGCAGTAGTAGAAGTAATAGCACTTGAATATTTCCACGAACAAACTAAGAAAAAAAATAATATCAAATAGCTACTTTTTTTTAAAAATCCAAACTGTCATTTTAAAATGAAGAAAATTCAATTCTGGGTTCTATTTATATAGCGCTGTGCATTTTGACAAGTTGAAGTCACTAGTTTTGTTCGTGGAAATCGCAGTTGAGTTAAATGTCATTTTTGAGAACAGTGCCTCTGTTATGGTCCTTGTGATAAAATTTCGAACCGTTTTTAGTACAAATTCTTTTTTTTAATTTTCAACCAACACACCTTTATCCACTTATCTTGCTCCTTCTAAGAGATATCAATAAATTTATGTAAAAACTACAAAGCTTAACATCAAACTAATTTCAAATTTGGAACCTTCCTAGTACCCGTGGTTCTGGCCTCAGTTGAGTGTGGAAGAAGCTGACGTCATTTTATCAGGGCAACCGGATGGAACCTTTCTGGTTAGAGACAGTTCGGACGCTGAACATCGAGCTAGTCTGAGTTTCAGATCGTTTGGTACCACTCATCACACGAGGATTGAAAGATTTAATGGTGTGTATGTTTGTGTTTGTTTGTGTGCGTGCGCGCGCGCGCGCGTGTGTGTGTGTGCTGTTTATCAAATGTTTTGGTGTCATTCGATATCATACACCATAAATGTTATAGCGCTATTTTTGCCGGTAAAAAAGCGTTCATTTATGTTTTTTATAACAAATTGAAATTATTATAATATATTGAATAACTCAAGGTTTATAGCTAAATAAATGGTTAAGTAAAATAAACAGACAAGTTAGACAAACAAACAAACAAACAAGTTAACAGACAGATAGACAAATGAGTTAACAAACAGACAGACAAACAAACAAACAGACAAACAAAATAAATAAATGATTCGCAAGGTAGCTACAGTTACTACAGAAACAGCCTCTCACACGGTCGATGCCCAAAGTTGGGTCAATTTGTCAAAAAAGTCCAGACAGCCTCAGTGGCCAACAGCAAAATGACATCAACTACAAACTACATTAATGTCAGCCACAACAACGACAAAATGACATCAACGGCAAGCCGTATTAATGCCAGTAGCAGCAACTACGTTAATGAAAACAATAGCTTGAAGAATAAAATCTGCAACGATAATAGCAATAATAACAACATTTATAATAATAGTAGTAGTATTACTACTACTATTGCTACAACTACTTCTGCTACTACTGCTTCTACTACTGCTACTACTGCTGCTACAAATACTACTACTAATAATAATAATAATAATAATAATAACAATAATAACAATTTTTCAATTCATTTTCTAAAACCCCGGTCAAAAACTTCACTGCCAACACCGATTTTGTTATTACATCCTTTATGTAAATTTTCCTTCAAATAAATAAATTAACTAACTAATCAATTAATTTGTTTATTAATTTATTAATTGATTATGAATTAATATTTATAATAAATTTTCGATATTAATGGATTCTTATTTATGGTGATTGTATTTAATAGAAATTCTCAATAAACCTTTTTACATTTTTCAAACTTTTTTTTATCACTTCTTGATTTTTTTTAATGACGAGAAAATATTTTCTGATGAAAGGTGTTTGGATTTTTTTGAGTTTGTTCTCATTCTTTGAAGACTTCAAGATTTCAATGGAGATGGTCTTCAAATTATTAATTACTGTGTTTAATTAATTATCAATAAATTATTATCATTGACTATATTTATTTTCATGGCATATATACTATAACAAAGTTTATTTATTTATTTATTCATCATACTTGTTTGCAATTTCAAAACGCGTCCATTTTTTGTTTACTTTTTTATTAAGTACGATGACGTAATTCTCACAACAAACAAATTCCTATAAATACAAGAAATTATTATCAGCAATTTCAACTCAAATTTCCGTTTAGGCATATTTTCAGACGGGCGCTTAAAACTCAACTTGATAATTATTATTAATTTTATAATAATTATGATATTAATGAAAATTAATGTCTGACCAAAGTAATGTCATTTTGAAGGCACTTAACAACCCACGTTGTTACCCTTTGATCGCTTTCATCCTGAAATCGACTAACTTTCAAAATGGCTGTCAACTTTAGTTGCGGTTGAGTGTGTGTGTGCGTATGTGTGTGTGTGTGTACGTGCGTGCGTGCGTGCGTGCGTGAGTCTGATTCTATGCTTATCTCTCGAACAAATATGACGTGACCGTTTTGCCTCGTATAAAATTTGAAGGATTGAAAAGTTTGAACGATGATACCGAGATATCGTTGGTTCATTACGGGATTGGGATTGGTCGGATTTGTAATTTTTGACGTTACGACGATGGCTGAGAGGATTTGAAATATATAAACTGACTTATTTTTATGTTGAGTTAGGATTGGTGTCTGTCATTAGGACGGTAATGTTTATTGATATAACTGATCTCTTGATAGATTAGCCCAAATTGGTTTGGTTAGAGATATGAAATATATTTCAGTTGTAGTTTTAATTAAGACTTAAACTTGTGAGATCTTGTGGTGGTTGAATTTCGAAGGTTCTAGCACTGGATTTGTGAGTGGGAGTTTTTCTAGCTCGATCAAAATCAGGGGAATTTGATTGCAACCAATGTATAACAAAACCACTTTATTTTTATGTATGTATGTATGGGTGAAGTCGATCGACCTTTTCATAGAATAAGGAGATCCGTCTGGATGCATGTATAATTATATTTTGGTTTAGGTGTGTTGTTTTATCTCCATGGTAGGGTAGGGTGATCTTGAGTTATTAATCATTAAATGCATGCAAACATACATTTTTCTCTTAGTCTATAGGTATGTATATAAATAGTAGTAGTAGATGAAGTAGCAGCAATAGCAACAGCAGTAACAGTTAGAGGCCTTGGGTATATTTTAAATTATTTTCACTTCATCATCATAGTTGATAGTCTTGGTTATTCCATCCTCTCTCGCTCTCTCACTCTCTCTCTCTCTCTCTCCTCTGTTTCTCACAATCCCTTCAATATTTTTCGTGAAAACTAATTTGTTTAATACATCAAAGCAATCAATCAGTTGACTATGCAATGATCTATCACACACACACACACACACACACACACACACACACACACACACACACACACACACACACACACACACACACACACACACACACACACACACCAATAGTATCACATGATGGTTTCTATTTTAAGCTTCTATAATAAGGATGTGTCCTGTTTCGGTTTCACTTTTAAACATTTTATTTTAGCTAACAGGATTTAAAAATTTAGAAAACTACAAAGTTAAATTAGAGAATAAACTCTGCCGATTAGTGAATGATATTCCAATTAAATTAATTTTTTTTCAAGAAATGGGTTTCTACTGCGACAGAGAAGTTAGATTAATTTTTTCGTTCACTATCTTTTAAAATTTATTTTATTCAGTTTTAAAATTTTAATTTAATTAAATTGTAAATCTCTACTAATCAAATGTTAATAACTATTATTTCAAAGCTAGAACATATTTGATTTTGTTATAAAATTATGATAAAGCTAAAGTTACACATTGAATAAACCAATTGAAATGTGTGCATTTGGGTTTCACTTTAGATTTTATATTTTATTTAAATTTTTAATTAATAATTTTTTCCTTCATCATAGTTTTTTTTCTTCTTGCCTTTGTTTTGAATATTATTTAATTTAATTATTTTTATAATGAATAATTAAATAAATAAATAATAATAAATAATAACACTCTAGATTAATCATTAATGAATTAATAAACAAAACCAAATCAAACACATCAGGAAAAGTCAAGTAGTAGTAAAACTAATTATATGATGGGAGATAGTGAGAAAATCTACCACAAGAAGTCCCCAACAGTAGCAACAACATCACTGAATGAGCAGCAACAACAACAACAGCACATAACAGGAGCAAATGAATTCAGCTCCCAGCAACAACAAGATATTTTCAATGTAAAATATCACTTCTTCAACAAAGGTGACAACATACAGTTCTGCTCTAAGATGGCCTATTTCACAGTTGGTCTTATCACAATGATGGCTTTGATACTTCTGCTACTGCCAATCATCAATCAGTACTTATCTTGCCCTGAAATTAGGAGTTGTGATGCGAATGATCGATTTTCATGTAGTAATAATCCCCCTCAAAATTGTAGGTGAGTCCAGAAAAAATTTTTAAATTTTTAAAAAGTTTAAAAGTTATTTTTTTCTTGTTAGGCCTGTGTTTAGGTTTACATTTGCACAATTTAAAGAAATAAATTCCAATTTTTTAGGGATCGAATGAATTACAAAATTACTAGAGTAACGTCATTCGGAAAAATTACGAAAAACTACAAAAAAACAACCCAATCAATTTGATTTAATTTCTTTTTTCCTAGCTTCCAACTAGTTGAGACCATTCCAGAAAACCTGACCTATCCCAGTGGTTCCATAGAGAGTATGTCGACTTTCGACGCGTGGATGTTTCTACTGAAGAATGCCAAAAAGTCTGTGGACTTGATTTCGTTTTATTGGTTGATGATGGACAGGCCTGAAACTAATAGCTCACTTGATATTCAGGTTTTTTGGTTTACTGTTAGGGAATTGATGTTTTAAATATATATTTGTGTGTGTGCTTGTGTGTATTTTTGTTTTTCTGTCTGTCTGTCTGTTTGTTTTTCTCTCTGTCTGTCTGTCCGTCTGTCTCTCTTTGTCTCTGTATGCTTATTAATAGTTTGAATAATTTTATCAATTTTTTTTTCATTTTATTACTTTAAAAAAATTTCAGGGTAAGACAGTTTTCAATGAGTTGCTGAATGTTATAAAGAGAGGTGTTAAGCTGAGAATCATCGTTAACAAACCCAATACAACCAACCCAGATCTTTTGGCATTGAGTCAAGCTGGTATGTTTGTGTGTGTTTGTGTGTATGTGTGTGTTCGTACAGGAGTAGGTTTCATTATATGTTTGTGTGTATGTGTGTGTTTGTGCATGTGTGTTTGTGTATGTGTGCTTGTATACGCATATTATATAATATTGTAACTTGATCATAACAGGGGCAGAAGTGTTGAATTTGGAAGCCGAGAAGTTGTTGAAATCTGGCGTCTTACATACGAAACTCTGGCTCGTCGATGGTCAAATGCTCTATCTTGGTAGTGCTAATATGGACTGGAGATCTCTGACACAGGTCTTTCACACAGACATGCACGCACGCACACACACACACACACTCACTTTCTCTCTCTCTCATGCACACACACTCTCTCTCTTTCTCTTTCTTTCTTTTTCTCTCTCACACACACACACACACACTTTTTTTTTCTCTCTCTCTCTCACGCACACACAAACACACTTTCTCTCTCACGCATACCACACACACACACACGCACACACACACACACACGTACACACATAGGTAAAAGAACTAGGAATCCTGATAAAATCCTGCGACCTCCTACTTTCAGATGCCAGCAAACTTGTAGATCTATACAACTATGTGGCCTCCCGTAACGAAGTTCCAAGACACTGGCCGTGCAAGTTTAACACGCGCTATAACGCTGACAATCCCATGCAGCTGAACGTTCAAGATCAGGCGACAAGTGTCTTTTTATCTGTGCGAGCTTTTCCTGTTAAATAATTGATCATTTAGCTATGAATTAATAAATGAATAGATGGTCTTGCGTGATTCATAAATTTGTGGTTTGTTCTCTTTAAAAAAAATGATTTTGCTATTTTTAAAGTTTGGTCATTTATTGGGTATGCAATTGAAGTCAAGACATTATCATTATCGTCGTCATCATCATCGTCATTATCATCATTATCAACAACAACATCAAACAACTATTACGAAATGACAACACTACCAACAACATCAACACAATATAACATAACTGTCATCATCACCACCACCACCTTCATCATCATCAGAGCTCTCCTCCGTTTTTCTGTCCATCTGGCCGAACATCGGACATCAATGCAATCTTGAATGTCATCCACTCAGCTAAACAGTTCGTTCACATATCTGTGATGGATTATATGCCTTACACTGAGTTCGCCAAGCCTCATCTGTATGTTTTGGCTTTGTATTTGTTCGTTTGTATGTTTGTTTGTTCATTCGTACGTTTGTTCGTCTCTTGTTTATGTTGTTTGTTGATTTTACATTTTCTTGGTATATTTATTTCTTATAATTTGTTTGAATATTTAAAAAAAAAATTTTTTTCAAATTTTTTTCATCTAAGATTTTGGCCTGTTATAGATGATGCCCTGAGAAGAGTTGCTGTTGAGAAGAAAATCGAGGTAAACGCATGATGATGATGATGACGATCATGATGAGGATGATGATTCTTTTACTCATTCATGATGATTCTTTCACTCATTCATTCATTTGTTCTTTCATTTATTCAAAATTTTTCAAAGCAAATATTACTATTTCTTGATTTACCTATTATAACTTCCATTTTGAAAAGTCTTAACACAAACTAAGGTTATTCATTCATTCATTCATTCATTCATTCATTCATTCATTCCATTCATTCATTCATTCATTCATTCATTCATTCATTCATTCATTCATTCATTTATTCATTCATTCATTCATCCATCCATACGTTACTTCACTCAATCTTCTCCAATTTTGGAATTTCTTTAAACTCTAACTAAGGTATCTAAATTTTGGAATTTCTTTAAACTCTAACTAAGGTAAAGATATTGACGAGTTTGTGGAAGCACACGAAACCAGATATGCTGCAGTACATGAAGTCACTGGCCAGTCTGAATGGACTGAGTTTTACTAAACCGGAGACATCTCTTCAAGCTGTTAGTCTTGATAATTTTCTTAGTTTTTAGTTTTTGTTCTGGCTTTTGTAGAATTTTTTCTCCTTTGTTTGATCGTCTGTTTGCTTGTTTGTTCGTTTATTTGTTTGTTTATCATCATCAACAACAACATCAACAAAGCCAACAACTACAACAACAAAGCCAACAACAACAACAAAGACAACAACATCATCAACAACAACATCATCAACAACATCAACAAAGCCAACAACAACAACAAAGACAACATCATCAAGAACAACAACATCAACGACACCCTCACTCATCCAACGACAGAAATTATTTTGCGTGCCAGTGGTGATGCCCTACCAGCAGACCATCCCGTACGCCAGAGTCAACCACAACAAGTACATGGTCACTGATCAGACTGCCTATATTGGTCAGGGCCTTTCTTTCTTTTATTCTGGTGGTATCGTCAATCAATCAATCAGCCAATCATCCATTTATTCATTCATTTATTCATTCGTTCGTTCATTCATTCATTCATTCATTTATTCACTCATTCATTCAATCTGTCATTCGACCATTCAATCGATCAATTAATTAATCAATCAATTTCTTTCTGACGATAATTATCAATAATTCAACCGATCAGTCAATCCTAATCTGAAAACTAATCAGTTGATCAATTGATAAATCGATCGATTAATCAGTTGATCAGTTGACTATACAACACACACACACACACACACACACACACACACACACACACACACACGCACGCACGCACACACGCACACACACACACAAAACACACGCACACACACACACAAAACACACACACGCACACACACAGGAACGTCAAATTGGTCTGGCGATTACTTCATTAACACGGCCGGCGTCGCGATCATAATCGGAGAACCAACGCCATCCGGCGAAGATCATCATCATCATCAAGGTCGTCATCCTCGTCGGAATCATCATCAGGAGGATGGCCAGGATAGTTATCAGGATCGACAGGGCCAGGTAAGGATACACCAACAGTTGAGAGCGATCTTTGAGAGGGATTGGTACTCCAATTACTCCATCGGTGTCTGGAACGTGGATGTTAATAATTTTACCATTTCCTGTAATTCCGCCTAACTTTGTTCCGGTTTTTCCGGTTTTTTAGTTTTCCGTTTTAATATGGAGTGCGTTTTGTTTAGTTTTTTTTTCTTTTAAGTTTGTTTAGTTTTTTTTTCGTTGAGTTCTTTGTTTTGGTTAAATTACATTTCAGACAGTATTCACTTATTTGCATGCCCTTCCATGCTTCATTTAATCTATTTATTACTCACACGCGCGCACACAGACACTCATGCACACGCGCACATACAAAGACGCACGCACACACTCACACACACACTCACACAAGTGCCAATGTGTTAACAGCTCAGATATATAATCAGGAATTAGTTATTAGTCGCGTTTAATTTTTATTCATAAATATATTATATTTTATTTGTAACACACATACACACTGTCTTTCTTTCTCTCTTTCTCTCCTCTTTATTTTTCTCTCTCTTTCTCTCATTTCTCTCACACACACGCACACACACACACACACACACACAAACAAATGTGTATGAACTATACCTAAGAAAATATTTTTTGGTTTGAGTATAAACATTGTTTTTTGATTCCTTTCCTTCATGGTTGAATAAAAAAGTATTTTATACATACTTGCGTGTATTATTTTAAGTTTCGTATCTCAAATGCGTGTACATACATGTGTATCAAATTACATGTATTCTAAATATATACGTGTGTATATTGTCATATTGTATGTATATACTTCTATATATACATAATCATCATCTCTATTGAAATGTATTTAAAACTGAAATAGTTAAAAAATCTTCTTGTGTTTTTTAATTAAGTGACAGCGTTATCGTTATCAGTTAAGAAATACTTAAATGTCCAGATACGTTTCTTTGATATGTCGTTATAGATCGTGACCATTATGTATGTGCCTTTGTGTGAGTGCCTGTACGTGTGTGTTTGTGTGGATTTGCATACTGATTTGAAATGACAATCATACAAAAAGGTATTTCATTTACTTGTTTCTTTGATATGTCGTTATAGATCGTGACCATTATGTATGTGCCTTTGTGTGAGTGCCTGTACGTGTGTGTTTGTGTGGATTTGCATACTGATTTGAAATGACAATCATACAAAAAGGTATTTCATTTACTTGTAGTGCTTGCAATGATGGTTTATATCAATATTTAGATTGATTTAACTGGTTTAAAATAATTGAATGTAAATTAGTTATTGGGTTTAAATCATTTGAATTCATATTTTATGAATTGAGATTTGTGCTGTCAATAATCAAACGCTAGAAAATAAAAATAAATTTTGTACATCTTTTTTTGTAAGTATTGTTCACTTTTAGTTGTTTACATTTTAGCTCCGCTATTGCAAATTTCGCAATTAATTTATTTCACTAATTTTACTTTATAAAAAATTCATTAATTAATTTTTTGTTGGTTATTTTTTGATTTATTGCTATTTGCCCAAAGATGGCAAGCAAGCGGCAAGGCAAAGGTTACATTTTTTGATAATTTTTAATTTATTTTCATCTTTTTTGCTTTTTATTGAAATGTTGACAACAGACAATGAATAATTAAATTTTTAAATTCGTTTACCAAATTTTTTTAAATCTTAGGACCAGCATCAGTAAAACCTAAGGAGTTGTTTATTTTGGGCTAGTGTTTTAATTTTATTAAAATAATGATTAATACTAATTAATTTAATAATTTTAATTTAATTTAATTATTAAATAATTGAGATAAAATTTTATTTAGGAATAATTAACATTATTAAATTATTACTCTTCGATTAGGGTGTTGATTGTGTGTTAAACATTTTTTTGCTTAACCTGTGTTTGCCTTTTGAAACCCACTACCTCATTCTCAGATGACTTCTCCATCACTTAGCTCTTCATAAGACAGTTTAAATTTTTACAAATTCAACTCAACTATATTCATTTCAATTTCAGGTTCCAAGATGAAACAAGACTCCGATCTTAAATTATCAATGGGTGGCTTGAAAAAAACTGGATCCACATCGGGGCCAAGTAGTAGTGGGATAGGTGGCAGCAGTAGTAGTAGTGGTGGCAATGCGGGTGCAAGCAGCAGCTCTCATTCCTTAAACATCCACAAAAGAGAACGAGAAATGGCACCTTCATGGAGTTCAAACATCAAAAGGCAGAAGTTAGGGCCAGTGATGAGCTTGTCTGGTCAGCAATCATTGACCACACTCGGTAGGCCAGCTGATACCTCGGAATATCGATCGTCTCCTGTCCAGATGTATCTCTATGAGGATATCGCTATAGATGGTGCTTCATTTTCTTGTCTTAATTTCAATTTTTTTAAATGTATCTCAGATAATTATTATACATACACATTGTATTTTATGCTACTGCTGTTTTTTCAAAGTGAGTTATTTATTGTGAAATTTAAAAATTTATCAATAAAAATGATCTGCTTTTATCAGTTGAAGGTCAGAACTTAGTGGCTCTGGTAAACGAAGCGTTTGTGGACTACGAGAGGATGGAGGGACTGTTGTGTGGGGCGGTGAAACACTTGAAGGCCAACAAGTTGAAGCCCGACCCGTCCATCTACCTGGCCGTCATGTACCTCGCCAGGGTCAAACCCACCCTATTTCAAGGCGAGATGATTACAGAGGTCTGCGAGGATGTTTGCACATTAAACCACACACGCACATTCATTAATTTATCTGTCAGTCTGTCTGTCTCTCTGACTGACTGTCTCTCTATGTCTTTATTTACTTATAACTTTAAATTTAAATAATGATACCACATGATATGATGATGATACGATATGACATGTTATGATGATGATACAACATGATATGATATGATGGTGATACCACATGATATGATAATGATACAACGTGATATGATAATGATGCAACATTATTTGATAATGATGATATGATAATGATACAACGTGATATGATAATGATGCAACATTATTTGATAATGATACCACATGATATGATATGATACAACATGATATGATAATGATACAGCATGATATGATATGATACAACATGGTATGATAATGATACAGCATGATATGATAATGATACCACATGATATGGTAATGATACAACATGATATGATAATGATACAACATGGTATGATAGTGGTATGATGATATCGTTCTGACAACAAAGTTGATATATTTCATGATCATTTTTTGTAGGCCTTTTGCAGCTTGCTGAAAAGAGATCCAGGTTTGAGTTTAAAAGTAAAGAGTAATAACTTAGTGGCTGTTCTTGCTTGCAATGTTTTCATGTCTGTTATGCAAGATGAAGACTCTTGGCCCGAGCATTTTGTTAAAGTATGTCTCTGTTTGTGTGTGTGTTTGTGTGTGTGTGTTTTTTGTGAGTTTGTGTTAGTTTGTTTGTGTAGTAGAGTGTTTGTTGGTTGTGTTTGCTTGTTTGTGTTCGTTTGTGTTTGTCTCGTTTGCACATTTTCACCGATGTTCTTTCGTGTTCGTTCTCCATGTTCATTCATTTATACATCTTGTTTAGTTTGTCATTTTTTTAGAGGCTTGAATTAAATTATAAAATTGAATAACAAAAATTTTGAAGGTTTTCTTGGACGATAGTCTGGGCGAGAGACTATGGGCGGATCAGATTGAATGCAAATCATTCGTCGACAACATACTGACGGCTTTCAATACGAAGCTGCCTAAGCAGCATTCCACAAATTTGACTCCACCCACCAATGCTTCATTGACAGCTACTAAAGTCGATTTTTTTCCAACCACTGGTTGGTTTCTGTGTTGTTCGTTTGATTGATTGGCTGGTTGATTGGTTGGTTGAATGAATTGTTGGTTGATTGATTGATTGATTGGTTGGTTGGTTGGTTGATTGTGTTTGTACGTAGCTTGTTAGTCTAACTGACGTTGTCTTTCTCGTTATCGTCATTGTCATCCACATCATCATCATCATCACTACCGCCACCTTCATCATTATCATAATCACCTCCATTATCACCATCATCATCATAATTCTCGTAGAGGCAACAGCAGCGGCTACATCAACGACATCGACGTCATCCTCATCGTCGTTGGCGATGACGTCATCATCTAATGACAACAAGATGGATGATTCAAGCAGTCAACAATCTCAAGATGTCATTTCCTACCCCGTCAAACAAAGGTTTTTGTCTCTCTCTCTCTCTCTCTCTCTTTCTCTTTCTCTCTTTTTCTATCTCTCTCTCTCTCTCTCTTTCTCCTTCTTCCCATCTCTTTTTTAGTCACTTTCTCAGTGTTTATTTACACTTGAAACCAGAGAACAAACAGTCACACATCAACCCGCCAACCAACTAACCAACCAACCAATCAATGACAGCAACCAACCAACCAACTAACCAACCAACCAATCACATACCAACCAACCAACCGACCGACCGACCGACCGACCATCCATCCAACTGACCCACCCACATTCACGTTGAAACCAGGTACGCCTACCACCATTGCAGCATGGAGCAGTATGCCCTCGACGTCATCAGGGACCAGCTAAACAGACGCCAGCCACTGGACGGTGGCTCCAAGAATCTCGTCCTCACCCTCACCTACCTTTGTGGCATTCCTGATGTCAGGGTGCTAGCTGGTCAGAGGCTTGATATGTGGCTACAGAGTCCTAAGGTTGAGAAATTTTTGATTTTTTTTTGTAGTTGCTTAGATTTTTTCTCTCTCTTTCACTCTCTCTCTTTCTCTCTCTCTCTCTCTCTCTCTCTCTCTCTCTCTCTCTCTTTCTCTCTTTCCTTCTTTCTTTTTCTCTCCCTTTCTTTATATCATACATTTATTTATATAGTTGATGAAAGTGGCACAGGACCTCTTGATGTCCGTCTGCATCAATTGTGACCCCGTGAACTGCGCCAGTGACCTTGAACTTGTCAACACCTTGGTCAGAATCAGGTTCAAGACTAAAGCCCTCTCACAGCACTTCAATCTTTGCATCAAGTTTCTGCTCATTTTATTTTTTTCTTGTTTATTTTTTCATTCATTCATTCTAATGTTAATTAATTAATTTATTTATTTATTCATTCATCCAATTAATTAACCAATTAATCAACCTACCGACCGATTAATCAACGATTCATTCATTCATTCACTCGCTCACTTATTGATTCGCTCATTCGTTCAATCGTTCGTTCGTTCATTGATGAACTCGTTCCTTCACTCACTCATCCATCCATACATTCATCGACCAATCAGAGAGCTACTGGAAAGCAATCCAGATAACCTGGCAACTCTCCTACAGCAAACGATCAGCAACGAGCTGTCAAGCGCCAGGAGTCCCAACAACATGTCCCTCATTCTTGTCATGCTCCAACTCCATCCTGAACAAACTTCCAAGGTTGTCATCGCCATCATCAAACTTGACCTAATTAATCATCCATATGACCCAAATACATTTTAATTATCATCATAACCCAAATATCTACCAGCCTGTTGGAAATAATGATCGATTCGACCTAAATAATCATCAAACTTGACCTAATTAATCATCGACCTGACCCAAATACGATTTTAATCAATCACGCCACCAGCTACTGGCCGAGACGTTTCTGGACTGCATGATGCTTCGAGATGACCACACGAAGGCGCTGAGGTCACTCGTGAGAGAGGTCGTTAAGGTCTCCAAGTCGTCAGAGTTCAACATCAGCAGTTTCGTTTTCAACCTCTTGCAGGATCGCAACACGGGCAAGTTTCGCGATCTTGATCCAATTGTTAAGGTTGGGTGTCGTGTTCTTTCCGCTTTTTGAAGGGTGTTCATCGGGGTGATGTTGGTTTGCAGTTGATTCGTTCATCTATTTGTTCATCTATTCATTTGTTCATTCATCTATTCATTTGTTCATTCATCTATTCATTCATTCATTCATTCACTTATTGATTTACTCGTTTGTTTCTATGTTTACTCACTTGTTCATTGGCTCATTCATTTCTTCATATAACCTTCATCCTAATCGTTCGTTTCTTCATTCAATCATTCTTTCACTCAGTCACTCATTTGTTCCTTCATTTATTGACTCGCTTATTCAATCACTCAGGAGCGTTACATGATATCACTGATTGATATCGTCTCCATGTGCATGCTACTCTGCATCACACCAGCCGTCAGGGAAGCGGCTTCTGCTGCTGCCAGGCTCGATATCAAAGGTTCGTTCGTCGACTGGTTGGTTAACTGGCCGGTTGTGGCATTGAAACTTAAGTCACCTTCTTCATCATCATCTTCTTCATCTTCATCATCTTCTTCATCTTCATCCCCTTCATCATCATCTTTTTCATCCACATCACCCACCCACCTACCCACCCATGCAGACATTGAGGTCTTGAGATGCTTCCAGAAGCAGATAATGTTCATGCAGCGAGATGCAGTCTGGTGGCTGCACTCCATCGTCATCAAGATGATGAATGTCAAACCGAACGATTATATCCAGGGGTCTGTTTCTGAGGGAGTGAATGAGTGAGTGAATGAGTGAGTGAGTGAGTGAGTGAATGTTTGAATGAATGAACGAATGAATGAACGAATAAATGGGGAAATGAGTGAGTGAGTGAGTGAGTGAGTGAGTGAGTGAGTGAATGAATGAATGAATGAATGAATGAATGAATGAATGAATGAATGAATGAATGAATAAATGAAGGAATAAATGAAGGAATGAGAGAATGAATGAGAGAATGAATTAATTATTATTTTCACCGCTAATTATGATGATAATTATTTATATTATTATAGTTTGAAGAAAGTGCTGTTTGTTGAGAAACCAGAGGTCTATTCGAAAATTGATAACTGGCCTCCTGATAATGATAGGAAGTTGGTGATGATGATGATGATGATGGTAATGGGGATGATGATGATGATGAAATGATTGACCGTTCATTTATTTGGTCCTGATAACTAACTATTAATAACAAACAATCAAACTTACAAACAAATAAACGAACATACAAACAAATAAACGAACATACAAATAAACAAACAAACATACAAACAAACAAACAAACAAACATACAAACAACCAAAAAGCCTAATGATAAAGTTAGTATCTGAAGTGCCCATACTGGAAGATGCCTTGTTCCGGATCATCTTGATGGGATTAAACACCAAAAGTCTCCACCTTAGTATTTTGGAGCTCATTGATCTGATCGAACTGCTGGTTAAGAGAGCTGCCTCTTTGTATTCTGAAGGTCTGTGTGTGTGTGTGACTGTGTGTGTGTGTGTGTATGTGTGTGTGTGGGTGTGTTGTAGCGGTGTAATCATCATCATTACTTACTGACACCATCATCGTCGTCGTCTTCGCCATCATCTCCATCTCGTCAGACTTTCCAGTGTTGAAAATTGACAACTTGACATTCATTGATGCCCTCCTCAACCTCTGTGCCTACAGACACCCGGATTTCACTGCTCTGCCGGCTGGGTCTGTGTGTGTGTGTTTGTGTGTGTGTGTTTGCTTGTTTGTGTGTGTGTGTATGTGTGTTCGCTTGTTTGTTTGTGTGCGTATGTGTGTTTGCTTGTTTGTTTGTGTGTTTGCTTGTTTATGTGTGTGTGTGTTTGTTTGTTTGTTTGTTTGTGTGCGTGTGTGTGCTTGTTTGTTTGTGTGCGTGCCTAGTTAAGCTGAAGTTACCGAAAAATGAAATGTATCATACACGAATGTGCAGTTATAAGGCTCCTTCTTTGGCCATAAGTTCGTTCTATTGGAAGGCTTGGATTATTCTGCTCATTATATCTGCATACAACCCTGCTACAGTCGGTTGGTTGTTTGTTTGTTTGTTTGTTTGTTTGTTTGTCCGTTGGATTGTTCATCCATCCATTCATTCATTCGTTCGTTCGTTAAACCATTCTTTCTTTCATTGAAATATTTTTTCAAAGTTTCTCGCGCCATTTGTCACATTCAAGTCGTTAAATTTATTAAATTATTCATAATTATCGTCATAATAATAATTATTATTATTATTTACTACTAATTATCATTAAATATTATTATCACATGTCATTAATTATAATTAAATATGACTTATTGGCTGTGGGAATTCTTCATATAGGGCTGAAGGGCTGGAGTTCCTACCCAACACTCAAATGCTTGATGGAAATGGTGATGACCAAGTCAGTTGACTAATTATACACGATCAATCAATCAATCAATTATTTAATTATATTATTATTATTATTGTTACCATCACTATCATCATCAGCACCTTCACCTTTCCACCAATGTCGATGGTTGATGAGGAGACTACGGCTGATGACATCATCATGCAGGAGAAACAGGTGGTGATGATGGTGGTGGTGGTGGTGGTGGTTGTGATGATGATGTTGGTGATTGTGATGATGATGGTGGTGGTGATTGAGATGACGATGATGATTGTGGTGATGATGATGATTGTGACGACGACGATGATGATGGTGGTTGTGATGATGATGGTGATTATGACGATGATGATGATGATGATTGTGACGACGACGACGACGATGATGATGGTGGTTGTGATGATGATGGTGATTATGACGATGATGATGATGGTGTTTATGATGATGATGATGGTGATTGTGACGATGAAGATGACGACGACGACGACGATGGCGATATACCCTAGAATATAATTTCCGACAGATGGCAGAGTTTACAAGGCAGCAGACGCTGGAGTACGAGTGCCATTTGGCGGGCTCTGTGATGAACGAGAGTAACAGTCGACTACTGCCACAAGTTACTCGCATGGAACCCGAGTTAGTTCTTGGTGGTGGTGGTTTGGTTGGTGTGGTTGGTGGTGGTGTGGTTGGTGGTCGTGTGGTTGGTGTGGTTGGTGGTCGTGTGGTTGGTGGTCTTGTGGTTGGTGGTGATGGCGGGGTTGTTATCGCGTTTGGTTCTGAATGCAAATAGATCCTCGCTTATCATTCTCAACGCCTGTAATGCGTGTTTGATTCTTACCTCTAAGTAATACATTTAAAAGGAGTACACACACACACACACACACACACACACACATACATACGTACACACACACACACACATAAATATAATATAAAGGGGTTTCTTGCTGAGCCCTCCGCCCTACGTCCTGGAGACCTTAAAATCCTTGAACCAGACCCTCAAATTGGGCAGGTTGTTGTGCCAGAGCAGACAGCCGGCAGATTTCCTTTTGAATATCATTCAGAAACAAGTTTGTTTCGTTGGTTGGTTGGTTGATTGGTGGTTGTAGTGTTGTGGTAGTTAAGATGTCTGGTCCTACTGCGAGGGCAGTACATTGGCCGGGTTCGTATGCAAGGAGAGCCCTACCTATCACATGCAATTTCTGTATGATGTATTGTTAATTTAATCCATGCAAACTACATGAGCTATGTCTTTGTTGCTGGCATCTCAGATAAATACTAAAGAGAGAATTGTAAAAAAAGTTAAAAAAAAAAAATAACGACGACAGGGGGCCTCTCAATCTATGCCCTGGTTGAAGGAGCTCGTGGAATCTAATGATAGCTCACTTGAGGTCTTGCCTGTTCAGTGTCTCTGCGAGTTCCTCATCCATCACCTCAATGACGCTGCTGAAGACGCTGCTTCTGCTGCTGCTGCTGATGAGGATGATGATCAGATGAGGGGGAGGAATGAGCAGGTTGGTCTGTTGGTTGGTTTGTTGGTTGGTTGGTTAATTTGAGGTTAATTTTATTTTTTGATTCGTTGACATGAGAGAGATTTTACCCGGCAGAAACTGAAGAAGCAGGAGCAGCTGTTGTCTCGACTGCAGAACCTCGTCTGGACGACGTCAGACGATCCCCGGGTCATCGACCTCATCAGACAGTCACTTGTCTATTTTTTTCAGCGTCTCAGTTCAAATCTTTCTTGTACGAGGGCTCAATCTTCTAAGGTTGTACTGATGTTTGTTTTTATTTGTTCACCTTTTCATTCATTTTTTGTTTTTTTATGCATTCATTTATTTGTTCATTCACTTCTTTATTCATTCATTCATTCATTTACTGACACACTCACTCACTCCATCATTTTTTCTTTCAGTGTTTATTTTTGATACTTGGGAAGCGAATGCCTCACTCGGAGGATGACGACTCCATGGAGCTGGAGTTTGCTGAAAATAACAACAATAATAAAAATAATAGCAATAATAATAATAATAATAGTAATGGTAATAATGACTTGGCGGCATATGATTGGCTGCTCAGTAGCCTGCCACAAATTTTCCATTTCGGTGCCATCAAGAATCAAGTGTGCCAGTCACTGAAAGCTGTATGATTTTCTTTTCCTTTCCTTCCTTCCTTCATTCATTCGTCTATTATTATTTATTATTTGTTTATAATTTAATTATTTTTTAGTTATTATTTTTAAAAAATTATTTTAAAAAATTATTTTAAAACCAGGCTTGTCAGGTAGAGACGAGCGTGCCAGCAGTCAGTGCCTACATCATGTACCTGAGCAAGTTTTGTGCTAATATGGAGCTTCATGAACTCGATAGCTTGGTCTTGGTATGTCTGCTGTCTGTCTGTGTCAGTCTGTCTGTTTGTCAGTCTGTCTGTTTGTCAGTCTGTCTGTTTGTCAGTCTGTCTGTTTGTTTGTCTGTCTGTCTCGTTCATTTATTTTCTTGTTTGTTTTCAATCTATCAATCTGTTTATATCCTTACTTCCTCTTCAAAATGACCTCTGGTATAGAATAAAATTCAAACGTTCGTTTTATTCTTGCTTCGGTGTTGATGTAAAGTGCGAATGACGTTGCGATGATGCGGATGTGATGTAGAACTTGGTGAGTAAGAATGACGATGGCCATCCAACCAGGACATGGCACAGCTGATCGTGGAACGACCTTCCATTGTGGCCTTCCTATTACCACAAGACTTCCACCTCAGCAGCAGCAACAACATCACTGACGATGAGTTGAATGACGTTGTGACGAAGGGAAGATCGCTATCGTCGTCGTCGTCGTCGTCGTCGCTGAGGGCGGATCACTTGGTCGAGGCTTCTTTGATTCATCTCTTCTGCTGCTACCTCAGCAAGGCGCAACAGCCACAGAATGAAGCTTATTCCTGGGTCGGCCATTTTCTATTAGTCATTTACTTTTTCGTTCTTACGTTCGTTTAATTGTTTGCCTTTGCTCGTTGGTTCATTCATTCATTTGTTCGTTCATTTATTCATTCGTTCATTCATTTATTTGTTCATTCATTCATTTTCTTAAAACTATTTTTAGATGAAAAAATAAGTTAGCAATTCATTCATTCCTGTTAACCATGTGCTAATTGATCGATTTGTATTTTATCACTAATAAATGAAGTCAATTAATATTAACGAGTGAGACTAATTAATATTAACATAAATTATGTTAATTTCCTTGCCTACCTGGCCCACAGTCGAACACACAGGACCAGATATTGTTGCATTGGTCATCTGGTCAGTCAGCCAAGATGAACGTGTTGGTGGTGCAGGCTATGATCATGCTGCTTACCTTGGGCCCACCTAACTGTTAGTTAGATGTATGTGTGTGTGTGTATGTGTGTGTGTGTGTGTGTTAGATGATGATGACTATAGTAATAATAACAACGTGGAATACACACATACACACACACATCACATACACCACACACGTGCTCATCACACATCACACACACACACGTCACACCCACTCACACACAGGTGAGAGTAGGTATATGGAACTTCTGGAGGCCTGGTTTCCTCTGACCGGTTCAACTCCGACTGCTTACCTGGTTGACACATCCGAGGAAGCCCTGCTCGTTCCTGATTGGCTGAAGTTGAGGATGATCCGGTCAAACATCACCAGACTTGTCGATAATTGTTTGTCTTTTTTTTTTTTTTGCTTTAAAACATACACAACCACGCACACAAAGTCACACACACACATACAACACAAACACACCCAGACCACAATAGCCCACAAACATTTACATGCCAACACACACACACACACACACACACACACACACACACACACACACACACACACACACACACACACAGACAAACACACACGCACACACAACAGCCCTGGCTGATTTAGACTGCTCCCAACTCATCCTATTCATCCAATCGTTCGGCATTCCTCTCTCGAGTATGGACAAGTTGCTGCAGCTGCTTGACGTCATGCAGGAGGGCAGGGAGGAGGACGAGGCGGAGAGGGACGCCCTGGACAGGGGTTACATCACTCAGCTGGTCGAGGTCCAACACATGAGGGGGGCTTCCGGAGGGGAGCGATTCTATAGGCTGATCAGTGGAAACAACATCAACGTCATCAGTGACGTCAGCAAGGCTAAAAGTGATGATGACGTCATCGTCAACGACATTAAGAACGTCGTCAGTGGTAGCAACAACAACGTTAAAAACAACAGCAGCAACAACATTAACTACAATGCTCCCACCAGTAAGACACCAAAAGAAGGTTATTTTCAGTTGTTTTATTTTTATTATTCTCTGTGCAATGATAAAATTTTGAATGAATGGATAAACAAATGAATGAGTGAGTGAGTGAGTGAGTGAATGAACGAATGAATGAATGAATAAACGAATCAATCAATCAATCAACGATTGGATGAATCAATCAACAACATATTTTTAGCTCTGCTAAAGTGCCAACAAGAGGATATGACCAGCGTAAATGAAATCAAACGACTGCTAAATGAGGTACGTTCGTTCCTTTCTTCATTTTTTCTTTCATTCATTCGTTAATTAATTAATTTGTTCATTCGTTCATTCATTCATTCATTCGTTCGTTCATTCATATTTAGATTTTTGTCGATGAGAAGTTACCAAAGATCAAGAAATATGATTCATTCAGATCCTTGCAAAAAGTTTGTTTAAACCGTTTTGTGTTTTTTTTGCTGAAATGAATGGATGGATGAATGGATGGATTAATAGATGGATGGATGGAGGGATGGATGGATGGGTAAATGGAAGAAGAAATGAATGGTTGTAACTTTTTATTAAATTTTAAATAAATTCTTTTTAAATTCTACTCGCCAGATTCTAAACACAAAGAATGGCCCAAAGATATTTATATCCGTTTTATCAGAAGCATCATCATCAGCAGCAACATCATCGTCATCATCATTTAACACGTCGCTAATCAAATCACTGTACAATCAATTTAATCACTCTTGTCTAGTATTTCGACTTGTCATACCACATATCGACTTGGTTAGTTGGTTTGTGTGTGTTTGTCTGTGTTTGTCTGTGTATGTGTGTGTGTTTTTCTGTGTTTGTCTGTGTTTGTTTGTGTATGTGTGTGTGTTTTTCTGTGTTTGTTTGTGTATGTGTGTGTGTGTATGGTTTGTTTATATATTTAAATATATGTGTGTGGGTGTATGTGTGTTTGTTTATGTGTGTGTGTGTGTGTGTGTGTGCGCGCGCGTCTGTGTGTGTAGTGTCTATACGTCGAAACACACAATGATATATAACTAAAAATATAAAAGTGTGTGTGTACGTACGTATGTGTGTATGTTTATGTGTTTTTTTTGTATGTGTGTGTGTGTGTGTTTATTTGTGTGTGTATATTACATATATACTTAATTATAATATGTATTTATTTATAATTTTTTTTAATTATAGTCTCAAGATGACAATAGGCAAGTCTTAAACCAGCTCTGCCTTCGTGCACCCGCTAAAACTCACCCACTGGCCAGCCTTATATCATCATACATCAAAGAACATACATCATCATCATTACAATCATCATCATTGTCATCGCAATCATCATCACTACCTCCTTCGTCGTCGTCGTCATCGTCGTCGTGTCAGCTGCAGGCGTCGCTACCACCAGCGCCACCATCGCCACATGTGGTAGCGATATCGTCGTCGTCATCATTGTGTCAGATAAAAGTGACGTCATCGTCGTCGTCGTCCTCAACGCCGCCACTCATAGCGATTTCGTCGTCGTCGTCGCTGGTGGCCAATAATGAGATGTCTATGGATATTAGTGACGACAGCCAAAATGGTAGTCGTGGTGATGGTGAGGGGGACAAGGATGACGATGATGGTGATGATTTTTCGGATTTTAGCGAAGAAAAAATACGGAAACGTGAGTGTAGTTGGTTTCTTTTTGGGTGCATGGATGGATGGATGAATGAATGAATGAGTGGATGGATGGATGAATGAATGGATGGATGAAAAAATATTTAAATGAATGATTGATGAATGAATGAATGATAATGGACGTAATTTTAAACCATTATTTTTTATACGCTCGCACACACACGCACACACACACACAGTATTAGAAAAAGCTCTAGACGATCCGAATAACATGGAAAGGATGGTGATGAGAGTCGTCAACGCATTCCTCCAACAAAAAGTCCTTCCTCCATATGCCTCTCAAGTTATCTTCGATCTCATTGGCCAGTTTAAAAATAGGTCTTTTGGGTTTTTCCATTCTGTCTTCTTGTTTTACGGAGCTAATGTACAAATGAATTACTGATTGGACGAATGATAGATTGGATGAATGAAGATTAAATAAACGAATGAATGAGGGAATAAACGAATGAATGAATAAATTAATAAACGAATAAATGAATGAATAAACGAATAAATGAATGAATAAACGAATGAATAAGCGAACGAATGAATGAATGAATAATCGAATGAATAAACGAATGAATGAACGAATAAACGAATGAATGAATGAATAAACGAATGAATGAACGAATGAATAAACGAATGAATGAATAAATGAATAAACGTTAATATATACATACATACACCTATGTAGACCCGTATATACCGATAAATGTCTGCAGGAGATACGCAAACATAAGACTCGGCTTGCTACTTGATTGCATTGAGCCAGTCAGTCCAGGGATTGTTCAGCGACAATCAATCAAACAACTCGTCAAGGTGGCCTTTGCAAAACACCAACAACAACAACAACCAAAAACACTAAATCAACAAAAAACCGACGATGATGATGATGATATGCGTACTGATAATGATGGTGGTCGTGATCGTCGGGATGGTCACGTGCCCGGTCAGGATGACGACGATGACGTCACTAGAATATATTCAGTTGGCAGTTGCACATCCCTATTTTCGTCACCACCGCCGTCGTCGTCCTCGTTGCATCACCATTATTTGCTGTCTCTGATTCTGCATAGGAGCGGCTTTAAGAATATTCGACTCGTTATCGACATGCTGCTGACGTCATCATCTACGTCATCAACAGCCGATGATTCGGATGATTTCATCAAGAGGTTTGGGAATGATCGTGTTTTATTTTCCGTTATCTAACTTATTTATTTATTTCTCTTGAATATTTAGGATTTTTGGTGAGTTTTTTTTTTTTGGAGTGAATGTGGATTTCATTTTGTCTATTGAAACGGTGATAACGACGATGATTGTGGTTGTTGTGATGAGGATGGTGAAGATGATGATGAAGATGGTGATGAAGATGGTGAAGATGATGATGAAGATGATGATGAAAATGATGAAGATGGTGATGAAGATGATGATGAAGATGATGATGAAGATGGTGAAGATGGTGATGAAGATAATTAAACGATATTTCAAGTCTAAATGCAGGTCTCATGTTGGACTTCCTCCATGCCTCCATTCAACTACCAGCTATCTGGCAAGGCAGGGATAGGATAATCTCCAAGGTTGGTTCTGTGGTGGTGATGGTGATGAAGAAGATGCAGATGACATAAATGATAACATTTCAGATTCGTTTATTCATTCATTCATTTTTTTCTAACGAAAACTAATTTCTAACTAGTATCAGCCAGTTGAAGATATCCTATCATTGAGCACCAATCAAATCGAGGCTCTCACGTCATTGGTCGTTAGAGATTTAACCGACTCATCTCTCAGCCAATCACCACGGGCCGGTTATGGTTTTATGAAAAGCGATTGGATGAAACGTTTGCTGAGTAAGAGGGTAAACTTAATTGAGAGTTCCTGTGGCGGGCAGATGAATAAGCTGCTGGCTGTCGTTAAGAAATTGTTCGCCATCTTGAATACCAAAGATTCTAAATATCGGGAAGGCGTCGTCGGAGGTTCCAATGACGATCCTGAAATGTTTGTTTTTGCGTTTTTTTATTTCTTTAATTTGTGGAACTCTCTGGCTAGGTTTGCCTTTTCAATTTGAAATTTTTTTTTTTGCCACCATCAGAATGGTGGCGAAGTTATTGCTGTGGGAGATGTACCTGAGGTGTCCGAAGGTCTTCGCAAGCCGCCAACAACATTTCAACAACTACGACAACAACAACAACTCCACAAACAACATCAACAACAACAACAACGGATACATCAACAACGACACCACAGGCAACATCAACAACATTAATGACATCAACAAAAAAGACAACGACATTGACTTTGGTTTCGATGGTCTAAATGTTGATGATCATGAACTACTTGAGACAATTGTACTCCATGATTATAGCTATGTACGTTTCGTTTGAATGGCTGGTTCGATTGGCTGACTAATTGGTTGATTAGTAGATTGGTTGGTTTATTTGTTCGATCGTTCGTTCATTCATTCATTCGTTCATTTATTCATCATTTCATTTGCCATCTTAATTGTTAGTTTCTTATTTTTACTATTTCACAATCTTTCTATCTATCTATCTACAACTTTTCTAAATTATTCATTCGCTCATTCATTTTTTCATTCATTCATTCTCTCATTCATTCATTCATTTATTTATCCATTCATATTTCATTCAGACACACACACACACGTACACACACGCACACGCACACATATACAGATGGACATAGTCAGCCACAGGATGCTGATGAGTTTGATGGACAGTACTTCCGGCAGACAGGGGGAAGAGCAGATGCTTAACGCGAACGTGGCCTGCCGGAAGTTGGCTTCTAAGCATCCTCTCATCTTTCTCAGGTCATCATCATCAGGGTCTTGTTATCATCACCGTCATCATCATCATCATCTTTTTCTTCTTCATTTTATCATGACGTCATCATCCTTTTTAATCATTTAAGTTGTCGCCAAAATCATCACTATTGCTTTACCAAAGCATCATAACCACCCTTACTTTTAACCACCACTATCGTACGCATCTCATCACCACGTCATCACCGCGTCATCATTACGTCATAATTACGTCACGACACAAACAGGCAACTTCCGCTGATGTCGTCACTGCTCCAGGGGCGCGCCCAATACTCCTACACGGAAATGAAGAACAGGAACTACTTCCTCTTGTTCACTCACTCACTCAACATCCTCGACATGCTACAACCACAGTTGTTCCACTTGCAGCATCGGAGATTTTTAGTCAGTATCATTGCATCCTATATGCAGCTTTTTTCTGTGAGTTTTTAGTTTTCTTTTATGCACACCCACCCACACACACACACACACACACACACACACACACACACACACACATACACGCATATGTACGCATATATACACACATACATTAACTTTTTTACACATACATACATTTTTGTACATACATCTGCATTTATGTGCATATATATATATATATATATATATATATATATATATATATAAATACACTTACACATGCACTCACACATACACATGCATATATCCACACGTACAAGACACGCACACATACACAACTTGACCCAGATTCACGGCTTGACCCACAAACAACTCGGTGGCCTCATTAAGAAGTTTCTAGAACTGGTTGACAGTTTCCTAAACTATCAGTCAACCCAACATTCAGATAATGATGACGACGACGATGATGATGTTAAAGATGATGATGACAATGAAAATGGTGGTAATGATAAAAATGGCGCTAAGAAAAAAAATGATGTCAATGATAATGACGTCACGAAGAAAAAGAGCACTGATGGTGATGATGTCGATGGCAAGCCTGCTGGTGGTGATGATGACGATGGTGGTACAGAGATGAAGAAAGGTGATGATGATGATGATCGTAGAGATGATGATGCGTTTTCTGTTGTACAGCATTACACTCCCCTATTGAAGTTCGTGGATTTTTTTTTGTAATTTGTATCTTCTATTTTTACTCTTTGGTTACTTGAATGTTTGACGTCACTATTTAATATCACATTGATTATGTGATAAGATCAACGCTAATTCCAGTAAAAAACAGGTAAATTTACAAAGTTACATCGAAAGTATTAGTAGCACATCAAAGGCATCTTACAAACTAATAGCTTAATGACATACATCTTAATCGTCATAACGAACTAACTAACTAACAACAACACACAAACAAACAACAACACAAACAAACAACAACATACACAACACGTACAAACAACAACACAATCAAACAGACAACTAAGCGAACAGTATGTGGACCTCTCCATCATCAGCTCCATCCTCACCAAACTTGTCCTCCACCAACACAGGCGAGAGCAAAAACAATTCAGCTTTTTCGCGCCAACAACAACAACCACATCCGTTTCCGCTGATGATGATGATGATGATGATGATGGTAGTGACGATAATAGTGCAGATAAGAGCAACGACAAAACAACAAAACCAATTTTCAAAGCAGCGACATCCAGCCACAACAAAAACTTTAATAAGCCACCATCTAAATTAGGTCAACCATCGAAACTAGGTCAACCATCTAAATTAGGTCAACCATCTAAACCTGTTCAACCACCTAAATCTTGCCAATCATCGAAATTAGAACGGCCGTCGAAATTAGGTCACTCATCGAAATTAGGTCACTCATCGAAATTAGGTCAGGTGATGACCTACAAATCTCAGTTGGCGCCACTGACGTCACACGCGATACCTCACAACCAGCTGAATGTGCTGAAGCAGAAGCTAACGAGGAGCTTGAATGGTAGCCACCGTGGCGACCTGGTTGACGGGCTGATGGAGTTGGATGAGTTGTCTAAGATCAAAGTGGAAGTTCTAGAACATTTTATCGTTAGTTTGTTGTTGTTTGTGGTTGTTGTTGTTTGTTGTCTTGATTTGTTGTTTTGATCTGTTGTTTTGATTTGTTTTTTTTTTCGTTTTTCTGTTGTCTTCTAATCGATAGTAAAATGATTATAGTGATAATAATAATATTAATAATATTAACTATAGCAACCACAAGAACAATAATATGAACAATGAAAATAATAACAACAATAACAACAACAATAACACCTCAGGACAACATAAACGAGCTGCTGATGGATGGGAATGCGAGGTACAGGGAGTATGCCCACCTTCTCATGATGAGGATCGTCAGGTTCAATCCCAGGTCAGTGCTGCAACTGCTGCTACCGCTGCTGCTGCTGCTTTTGATGATGAATATGATGATGATGATGAATATGGTGATGATGATGATGGATATGGCGATTGTGGTGTTTTTAGTTTTTTATGTTATCAACTTGCTAAAAACCTCTCCTCAGATTGAGTGGGAGGTTTAGGAGGCAGATGGGGAAGTGCCTGGAGAGCGCCAACTTCAGCGTCATGGTCAGTGCTCTCAACAATCTCAAGGAATTCGTTGTCCTCAATCAAGGTATGATGATGATGATGAGGATGGTGATGTTGACGATTGAAAGATTGTGATGAGGATGTGAGGATGATGATGATGATGAATGTGAATGTGATGATGATGATGGTCATGATGATTGGGATGTTGATGAATGATGCTTTATTATTTGTTATCATTAACTCCCTCCTACAACCAATCAGCACATGCCGCGGAGCTTCTGAGAAGCGCTTTTGTGGCTGGGATATCGCTGCAAGTGGACACGACCGCATACATCGCTCAGTCCCTGCAGCTACTCAATCTGGACATGAACGCCGGAGTGTGACGTCATTGTGACGTCATTGGATGAAAAAAAAAGAAATAAATGATATGATAGCAAAAGATGTTTTTATGATAATTGAAGATGTTTATGTGATAATAAAAAAATGATAATGTGATTTGAATATTACATACGATTTTATGTATTTTAATGTACATTTTATTTGGAAATACATGATTCGCGATATTGTGAGAATGTCTCGAAAGTATTCCAACCGTCTCGAAACACGTCTGTGCAAGTTACACAAAATATATTAATCGGAGTTCCTTTGTGGTGTTTGCAGGTACTGAATTCTATCGTCTTCAGCTTGTCAGCGAACTCTGACGAAATCACATCCAACAATTTGTGAGTTTTCGATGAGCTTATGTCGCTCTGATAGCTGGAACATGATTACTACTTCGTGCTCGGACCAGACAAGCAGGTCGGACCACTCTCAATTATTTCTTATCTCTTGGGCTCTTATTATTTGCTACACTAGTCGCAAAAGTTTCAAATGCGTTAACATTTTGGTAAATATTCACAATTGTAATCCAACCGAATAACTCTCTCTCTCTCTCTCTCTCTCTCTCTCTCTCTCTCTCTCTCTCTCTCTCTTCTGATTTCATCTATATATTGATATTTACGTACACCGTTTTCATCGTAGCATGGCAAGACAGACTACTTAACACTTGTGTAAGTGGCACTACATTAAGAGCATACATAAGTTGAATGTAGGTGAACGGGGGAACGAAAAAAGTTCAACTCAGAATACAACTATTTGATAATGTAGTAGATGCTTCTATTTTATATTAATTTATCAATTATCTTACTACAAATGATTTTATATCATTTATTTATTTTTCACAATTCAACTTAAATATTTTTGGTGTATTTTATAATCTGGTGTCTAAATGAAAGTAGCCTAATTAATAACGAATGACAGACACACACACGCATATACACACACAAACAAACACACACGCACATACACACAAACAAACACCTAAACACATACACACAAAGATACACACACACTATTTGCCTATATTTTTTGCTACGATCGCTTCTATTAATGATGATAATTTTAAACGGCAAATCGACTAGCAGCATGTTGCTAACGTTTGTATTAGACTGAAACGTACACATAGATCAAAGGCTCGCGACACGGTTTCAGTTTACAAAAAGATCATTTTCAATGCATATATCTATTAAAGTCTACTAAACTAATTCAAAACATTTGTCAATTTTGAAGTATTTATAGCTAGGGTAGCTAAGATTGTCACATAAGTTGGAATTTAGTCCGGCCAAGCGAGGAACATGGAGAGATCAGTAGAGGAAATTGATGCCCTTGATATCATCTGGATCCAGAACAACAGGTGGATTGCCGAAAGGATATTCCTTGTACATGATGGCAGTTTTAACGTCTGAATGTTTCAAGCCAAAAACATGTCCGATTTCGTGAGTGGCCGTGTGCAGAAGATTCTTCGCTGAAAAACCAACGTTGATTAGGATGCCTAACTTCATCTTACGACTTCAGATTTTGCAGATAATTTTGAAAGTTTGAAAAATAATAATTATAAATATGTTTGTGGTAAAAAATAATTACTTTTTCCTGAACCGTCTCCCCATAGTTCATAGTCATCGAAATCTAACACGCCAGTGCTAGGGTAGAAACTATGAGCCAAAACATTTCTGCGTTTGTGGTCGAATGGGTAGCCATCCCTATGGTCTTTTGCAAAAAAATTGATTCGAATGTCGCATTTTTTGGAGTTAGTTTTTGTAACTTTTATTTTGGGATCAGCTGTCATCCAAATCTTGAAAATACATTTTTAACGAGAAAAACTCAGCAATGAACATCGTTAGTGAACTCAGCAATGAACATTGTAACATTGAAAGTGTTACATACTTTGAAGGCTTTAGCAATGATGCTGTCGACTTTATCTCTAGACAGGGTGGTTTTTGAAGGATATGAGAATATGTTGTAGGTGAATGTCGACTTACCCCAACTATCTTGAGATAAATTATTTAGATTTTTAACAAATAACATCAAATGATACATTTTATGAGCTTTATTGGAATATTTATTGGGTTTATGATTAAACTTAACTAAATTTCCATAAAATTTTAATCGCAAACTGCTCATAACTTTCACAACTGCAAGTCAGCAACAGTAAGTACCAAATACTTAGTTACATATTCATTTAAAGAAACAGAAATTTTCTACAAAAAATTCGGAAATAAGTAAAAAATTGAAAGCTCCTAATAACAATAATTTTTCGCTGCGCCACAAATCATTTTTAAAGTAAAATAAAACTTGTATAATTGAATCTTTTGTCCTTTTTTCGGCCAGTCAGCACTTCGGGATGAGGATATATTTTTTTCATCATGGACAGAGTTGCACCGTCAAAGACGCCTTCATAAACGTAATTATTATTATTATTGATAAAATTTGTATTAAAGTTATACTCCTATTCGAATTTGTAGTTTTCTTAATTAGTTCTAAAAGATATCGTGTGAATTTGCGTGAATCCAAGCATCAAACACATTGCTTTTGCGTGTTGTAGACGAGGCGGTCTCTTTGCAAGGTTCTGCAACCATTTCACCGCCTCACCGCTCGTTAAATTTAAATCTAATGAATATTCATCCTCTTGTTAATTCTAAGAAATGTCATTCTACCAACCAACCTGTATCCTGCAATCCTTGCGCACGTTGCATCATTCTGATGGCTCCCTGAACACTCGCAACATCCTGCTGGCCACCTCTCTTAAGATACCCATGACGTTTCAGGAAGTTCTGCATTCGTGGTGTGGCGTTCAAGTCGTTCGTTTGATTTAAAAAGTCACAAATTTAAAATTTCGAATCGAAGATTTTATTTAAAATTTGATCGACTGAACGTAGCAAAACCAAATTCTTTAAACTTATAGGTAACAATTCGCTCCACGCTAGGACTGACTAACCAGGGCTTCATTGTAAGATTGTGGGGGTGAAGAATCAAATTGGACGGCAGGTGGCAGGCTGGATCCGTCTTCCTGGTTGGGTGGAGATGGCAGAGCAGGAGAGCTGACGGCCAGACACACGCCCAACAACGAAATTATTTTCAAAATTTTCTTTGAAATCATTTCAAATTCACTTGCGAGGATTCCAATGATGCAAAATTAATTTGTCAGTGTGTGGCAGTTAACCTCTTTATAAAGAGTTTCCACTATGCAAAATCTAAATGTACAGTAATTGGCCAGTGAATATCGAATCATTTAGTTTTCATTGTTCTCATAAATCCACCTGGGCTCTGGCAGTTTGACGTTTTTTAGATATTTCTATTTAGAATAACCTTTATCGCCAATAATTTCTTGCAAAAAAACGAACAAATCTGTAGAAAATTTTTTATCTCGTCGTGTTACATCGATTTGTTAACGTTATTGAAAAGGCTGTTTCCGCTGCGCGTTTCTAAGTGCCTGCCTGCTACAATACTCACCTAATGCCAGCCACCTGACGTGTTTGTTGTGTATCTCAATAATGTACAAACAAATAAAAAACATGTGATCATTTGCAAGTGCGTGTCATTTTGTGTGTAGGTTTGTGTTGTGTGTTTTTGTATGTGTGTGTATTGTGTGTGTGGGTGTGTATGTGTCTGTGTGTGTGTGTGCGCACGTGCGTGTGTGTGTCTGCGTGCGTGTGTGTGTGTCTGTGGGTGTTTGTGTGTGTGTGCGTGCGTGTGTGTGTGTGTATGTGTGGTGTATCATGTGTGTTTGTGTTTTATATGCCGACACAGAATGATAAATGCAAAAGTTGCTAAAAATTATAGAATTAAGATAAGAAAATGGAAAAAACAGCCAAAATTAAAGTAACGAAAAATGATGCATATATAGTAAAATGAAGTTGGTTATTAATTGAGGAATATGTAAGAATAGATAAACCAAAATTATAACACATAAATAAGATTAATAAGAGCATACACATATGAAAATAATTTATTAGGAAGGTCGTTCTAACAAATATTGTTGTGAGATGTAGTTCCGAGATAAATTTATTTTTATTTGTAAGTGCTATAGCTCAATTCATATTCAAATTCCATGAATATTGTTGAAAATGTTAAATGCTTCACAATATAACTTCTTATACTTTGAAAACTTCTGTCAAACAAAAATAATAAATTTCTATTCAAAAATTCTTAATTTCTATAAAATTAAAACACTATTCTATCAATATTTATGAACTCAATGAATTTTTAACAACGTTGTTTTTGTGTATATTAAACTTGGCCTGATTGTGAATCATCTCAAAACCGTTAGATTTAATTTAAATTTTTGATTGGTTCGTAGAAGCGAATGAATAAGTTTATAAAAAATGTTGAAAAAAATTTTGATTTTGTTAATTTTTTGTGGGCTTCATTTGTGCCAAGATGGCGATGAACCGACCAAACTATACCGTCTCTTCACGAAAACTCACTACATGTTGTCTCGACAGTTGGACGACTTTGACGGATTCATGAAGATAAAGAATGACGACCAATTCCAGCCGGCCACGGATAAGTTCTTACACATGTACGGAAACTTCAGGCACGGAAGTCGCTATCCCAGCCACTCGGATCCTGGTAACGCTCAAAAAGCTTTGGATAAATTGGCAGGGAAGATTCCCAATGAATTATACGAAAAGTTGAATACCGTCCTACAAAATATGAGGAGCGTTCCGTCGTGCATGCTGTCGCCATCAGGTCGCGAGGAACATCGAATGATCGGTGACGAATATGGACAAATATTTGCGCATCTCTACCAGACAATCGGTAGTGATCGTAAGCCTAAGCCCAAAGATCTTAAAGAAGAAGATTTTGTGTTTGGACACACAGACTTTGAAAGAGCCATCACAAGCATGAGAGGATTCATGGATGGATTTCTTCCCAAAGCCCAATCCGTTGGAGTAAATTATACTGGCCAACCAAAAAATGTCAATCGATTTCTGAGATTCTACACCGTTTGCCAGTTATACATCACAACAGTTGCAAAGAATAACCAAACAAAAGTGGAAAAGAACAAGTTCATGAAGGCGAAACTGCCGGTAATATTGAAGACTGTGAGGGAGAACTTCAATGCTCCAAATCTAGACTGGACAGATGGTCTTCGTATATTATATATGATTAATATATATCAAAATTTAAATTAAATTTTGTGAATTTTACTTTAGGGGATGTGCATGCATGGGGCTCAATATCAGGCATGGAACTGGCCATCAACAGAACGGCAACTTGGGTTAAGTACTTGGACTCGCCAGATAACCATGTTCTCGAACTCATGGAATATGCAACAGATTTATCTGTATTTTTTCCTTCTTTCCAGTTTATTTTTATTTTTTGCTAAAATTTAAAAAAAATTACCTAAAGGCGTAATTGTCAGTAAAGTCCTGGCACTGGATCATTTTGCGAGATGAGATTGTGAAATTCACATTCTTCACTTTACTCCGTCTGACTGACTAGATTATATGCATCACATTCACCTAATTATTTTTTTTAGCATATAACATGCACGACAATATTTATTGATAAAGTCATTTCTTATCAAAAATTTTTCAGAAAATTCTTAAAGTTCTGTAGAAATTTAAAAAATAGATAACTGTTCATCAGTCTGAGCACCCTTGAAGCTGTGACATTTTTATTAGTTGTTGTAAACGAAACAACAAAATGCGTCCTGTGTAAGAGTTGTATCAGCTTTTATGTTAACGTTGATTTTTCAAAAGCTCTCCTTAAATGATGTTTTTTGCATGGAGGTGCATCTGAGACTTCTACAAATTTTTTCGGAAAGTTTCAATTTTTTCAGAAATTTTTTAACTTTTTCCAGAATTTCTCTGAAACATTTTCATTTTCCCGAAAATATTTAATTTTGTTTTTAATTTTTTTCATTATCAGGCGTACTGGTGGAAGGGTCCTGGCAACAAGATCAACTACCAGATGGCCTGTGAGGTCATTGTGGAGATGATTCGTTTGTTTGATAGCATACTGGCTGGAAAATCGTAAATGACTACTCTCTAACCATTTGAATTCTCATTATTATTATATTTTTATACGTAATTGATATGTGCCTCGATGAAAAACCGTTCATGATAGATTTTTTTATTTTTTTTTATCGCCGCCAGACAAGAACTCGGGAGATTTTATTTCAGCCACGCGGAGACGTTGATCCCCCTGTTGAACATCCTCGGACTCTTCAGGGGCGACCCTCCCCTAAAGCACGACCAATTTGAACAAAACAAAAACAGAGAATTCAAAACGACCAGAATGTCTCCGTTTGCGACTAATTTCGTCATCGTTCTTTTCTATCGAGGCCAGAAGATGAGTCTTGAGACGGCCTTCGTGCAACTTTACTTCAAAGGGAAGCCCTACTATTTCCCGTACTGCGGAAAGAAAAGTATTTGCAAATATTCGATTTTGAGGGGGTTTCTGGAAGAGTATCTCACGGACTGCAAAGTCGATGTGGATACAGAGGACTGTAAATACGTTTGTATCTCGCGTTCAGTTACTTCTTACGTGTGTGTGTGTGTGTGCGTGTGCGTGCGTCTAACTTATTTTACTGAACATTATTTAACTTGAAATTTCACAATTAGATGCCAGCGAAAGGCTTCTCCTCTGAAATTCGCAAGTTGAAGATTCGAGACTTAATTTGTACTCTTGTCATCGCTCGCTTCGCGCTATCGGAAGTTATGTCCTAATCAGATTCCGCTGCTGTTTTTTTACGAGATGAAACGTCTGATACCTTTGATACATTATCCTGTATCTTAATTAGTCTTTAAATATGATAGATTTGATACTATCATATATCCTAATTAGTCTAGTCCTTCTGTGACGCATTTGATTTTATGATATATTATAATCGTTTTATTGATTTTACAAACGTGACCAGTTGTTCTTGGCTGCAATATTTATAATATTTTTGTTAAGTCTATTTCATTGGTTTTATATTTTATTGTTTTGTTTTTTTGGTAAAAATTTTTTTAGTTGAAAATGGTGAGTGTTTGTGTGTGTGTGTAAGTTAAAATTCAATTGAAAAGTTTGTTATAGTTAGGAATGAAAATAACTTGAACGCTGTAGAGAAAGTTATGGAAAGAGAAACCAACATTAAAAGTGATAACAAAAGCAACCGAAACGCTAACAAATGATAATCCTATATAAAATTTCTTTTTATAGTAATTAAAATAACGATGACAAACTCTGCGTTCAAGTTTAATTACCAGCATGCTAAATGTCTAGTTTCATGTGTTCTTGTGCGTGTGTGCGGATTTGACCTATGACCTATAAGCATTCCAGTGAACTGACGTACACACGTGCTGCTTCCTTTTTTTGTTGTTTCGTCCCTGAATATGTACGGGCGTTCGATGCACACAGGAACGTATTTTAATCCTAGGACGCAACATAATGTATGCACAACGCACACAGACATGTACCAGGTACACACACATACACACACACATGTCAGGTACACACACAGATTATTATGTACGTGCATGTATTTATATATGTCAGGTACACACACAGATATTTATGTACGTGTATGTATTTATATATTTCGTGAAAGAGAGAGAGAGAGAACAAAATAAGGATGAGAATTATTTCATTCGTACATAACATCTTGTTATTGAAACATTAGAAGAATTCAACAAATTAAATCTTACTACTTCTATGGCTTCATGGACGATCTACCAATCAGATTTCGATTATAGATTAGTGACCGACCAATAAGAACTGAGCTGTCGAAATTGTTAAATCAAATTCTTGATCGAGGTTGAAAAACAATTTTTAGCGGCATATAAGTATTTAATAGGGCTTTTAAAGAAGAAATTTGGATTGGAAATTATTTTATTTTTATATCTCAAAAAAGAATATTAAATAATTTTTTCTATAAATTTGAGTTTAATAAAACTTTAACTTCAATATCACAAAAAATGAATTCAAAGTTCGAAGTTTTGCGACAGTCTGCACTCGGATATTACGAATGTGTGTTGGATCTGCTCGAGGAATTCGATATAAGTAAACATTTTCTGGCGAAATACGATTCAGTTCAGATAAGAAGTATTGAAAAACTTAAGTTTAACCTCGTAAAACATTTACTCTATGAGTGCGTTATTAAATTTGACGACAACATTAATGTTACCAGCAACAACAACAACAACAACAACATTAACAACAACAATAATCACAGCAACACCAATGACATCAGCAAAGACAACAACTTTAACATTAATATAATCAAAAACAACAAAGTTTTATCTTCATCTATTCTGGCAGAAACATCATCATCAACAACATCATCATCATCATCATCAACATCATTATCATCATCATCATCAACAACAACAACAGCATCATCAACAACAACAACATCATCAACGTCAATATCACCGTCCCCAACCACAACAACAACAACATCATCATCATCATTATCATCAACAACAATACCATCATCAAGAGCGACTTCACGTTCGTCATCATCATCATCATCGCCTGCGCCCACATCATCGTCATCATCATCATCATCGGAGTCATTAATCATCTTTGAAAATAGGCAAAATAACAATGGCGTTATGCATGGAAAAGATGACGGCTTTAATAATAAGAACAGTAGCAGTAGCAGTAGCAGTAGTGGTAGTAGTAGTAGTAGTAGTAGTAGTAGTAGTAGTAGTAGTAGTGGTAGTGGTAGTAGTAGTAGTGGTAGTAATATTAAAATGAGCTTATCCTTTTGTGAAATTTTACTAAATTCAAACTTTCAACTGGATGAAATTTTTGAAGAATTGTTCATTTTGTTACAGGAAGAATGTGACGATGACGAAGATGAGGATGAATACGATGGTGATGATGATGATGCTGATAATGATGGTGACAGTGAAGTAAATTCTAGTGATGATGACGAAAATAATGATAATGATGATTGAATTGAAAATAATAGTTTTGTTAACAATTGTGAACATTTTAAACGCTGAAAAACGTGATTGAGATTTTCAACATTAAAATATCAAATAAATCGTTTTAAACCATTATTGCCTCATTTCAAATTTCTTAAAAATTTATTTCTACATTAAAGTCTACAAAAATGGGTTTTTTTCACATAAATTTTTTTATACAAACTCATGGAAAAACCAACAAGATATACCTATTTCAATGTTATTAAAACAAAACACATTAATTAATTTAATCATTTATGTATATATAATATAACTTATATATAAAGTATAATATAATATAAATTTAAATATAAAAATTAATATAATATAAATATATATAATGGTCATTTATTAAAAAAATTATTTTTTTAAGTTAAGCGGTTCTTACACTTGTATAATACAATAGCGGCAATTAAAAGTAAATCTAGCCATACAAAAAAACAAATTGATTGCGAAATCTTCATAAAAATTTGTTTTTTACGCTAAAAATGCCGCCTAGGAAATTAGGTAATGCCATTTTTTTTAAATTATTATATAATTAACAATAATTCAATAAACAAAAAGATTTTTTTTTAAATTGAAAAGTGAAGAAAGATGAAAAAAGTGAATCAACTGAGAAAAACCAGCAGGTGCAATTTGAGTTGAGATGGGAATGGGAAAATAAAAAAGGAAGAAAAGTTAGTGAATGGAAAATTTTTCCAGAAAACGGACAACAAATTTTTTCGAAATTATTCAAAATCGGCCACTCAGTTAGTGTAATTTGTGATAACTAATAAGTAATAAAAATAATGTAATCAATGTCTGACTGCCAACTAAATTATTAATAAATTTAAATTTTAAATTTAATTTTTTTACTTTATTAATTTCAGAATTAAATTACTTTAATACTTGTCTAAAATAAAGATAGACTTTTGTTTTATTTTTAAAGGCTGAAATTTCAATTCTGAATTTTGTGTAATAAGTTTCATTTCAAGAATATTTTATAAAAATTAAAATATAAAAAATTAAAAAAAACAAACTAGGTGGCAGCATTTGGACTGGATGGGCAGTTGTATGATTTGAAGTTTGATGATCTCCTAATGAAGAACCAAAAATCAAAATTTGAAAAGTTGATTAGAACTGCTGTCATTAATAAAGGTGCCCACCAACCACCATCATCATTGCAATCAATGTCATTATCATCATCATCACAATCATCATCATTATCAGCCTCATTGTCATCATCATCATCATCGCTGCCATTAACTTAGTTGTCGGCATCATTATTATTATTTTCATACACATGCACACACACACAAACAGACAAAAATATAAAGTATGAAATCTATACAACACCAATAGATCAAGCGTTCCTCTGGCAATATGAAACAGAGGGAAAGTGTTGCCAATATTTCAAACCCACCGACTGCCTAATTTTGGAATCTGCTTATAACAGAAAGGGCAACACTGATACTACTACTACTACTACTACTACTAATATTACTACTTCTACTACTACTGCTGCTGCTACTACTACTACTAATAATAATTATAAAAATAATGATGATGATAGTATTGATCTTAAAGATGAGGATGAAGTGGTAATAGTAAAGGTTAAAGGAAATGATTATGAGGTCAGTTTGAAGAGCATGCGGGCTGTTGATAAGACGGATAAGAACATTTCTTATCGGGTTCAGAGAATTAGTAGTGGTTAGTGATGATGATGGTGATGATGATGATAACGATTACGTCGGTGATGGTGATGATCATGGTGATGACAAGAGTTATGATTATGATCAAAAGGGTTATGGTTATGATGATTGTGGGTAACATGTTGTAGTTGATAATTATGATGTGTTGATGATGATGATGATGATGATGATGATGATGATGATGATACGTGATGATAATGATAGCAATTTTTTTTAAAGATGCCACTAAGCTGAAAAGTGATGAAGGTACTTTTACTTGTATTAATTTTTTTTTCTTTAACTGATATTTGGCTGGTGTTGGTTGATTGATTGAATGTATGAATGAATGAATGAATTAATGATTGATTGATTGATTGATTTATTTATTCAAAGAAATAGCAACTGACAGACATAGCATGTCACGATATAATACTTCATAGGTTTCATCATTAAAACTGACGATGATAAGATGAGCAATGGAAATCTCAAGACTGATGATGATAATGATAGCGGGAACAAAGAAAATGGTGATGCTGATGATGATGATGTCAACGGCGGTGGTGATGATGATGATACAAAAACTAACAGACCTGCAAAAAAGTGTAGGTGATATATATATCATAAATTTTTTTCTCCTTCTCGCATTCAAAAATAATAATTAAAATAAATACAGCAAAGAGGGTCAAGCCCTCCAAAACAGCAGCAGTGACCTCTGACCCAATACCCTCGACCTCAACTGACACTAACAATACGGTGGCCAACAACGACAACAAACGCAAGAAGGCCGGTTCAAAGGTCACGGCCAAAGCGACCAGTATTAAAGATGAGGTCATTAAGGTCAAGGCTGATGTCACAAAGGTCAAAGGTGGAGTCACCGATGGTGGGGGTGGTGAAGATAAAAAGGAGAGTAAGCAAAGTTAGATGGATTTTTAAAAATTTTTGTTTGTTTGCTATTTTGGCTATTGCTATTGAAGATTTTTATATATAAATTATTGACGGTTTAAAATATTTGATTTAAAAAATTACAACTCACTGATGTTGCTACATTATATTATTCACAATAATAATAATAATAATAATTATTGTTATAATAATAAGTAATAATTTTCGAACTGTAATAAAAACGCCAGTGAAGACGATAGTGATAAAAGGTCGCGCCCCTGTTGACCCCGAGTGCAAAGAAATGGTGACTCAGGCCCACGTGTATGACGACGGCAATGATGTCTATGACGTCATGCTCAACCAGGTTATCGTTACGTCATCAACAACAATATCAATAATAATAATAATAATAATGACGTTAATAACAACAAAAACAACAACAACAAAATTCCCAACACTCCCATACAGACGAACATCAACAACAACAACAACAAGTTCTACATCATCCAATTGCTCGAGAGCGACAACAGTAAGACCTACCACGTCTGGACGCGCTGGGGTCGTGTAGGGGCCAGAGGTCAAACCGCCCTCATGCCCTTTGCAGAGAACTTTCACTCCGCCTATTTGTGCTTTTGTAAAAAGTTTGGAGGAATTTTTTTTTGGATTTTTTTCAGTAATTAAATAAGACCACGAAGTGATAATCTCAATTAATGTTGCATCTGATGAGCCAGTTGATTAATTAATTAATTAATTAATTGGTTGGTTGATTGATTGATTAATTGAATTATTATTTAATTAGAAGTAAAATGGAATGAAGAGAGGATAAAGATTCTGGAGAATAATAATAAAAATAATAAAAAGGTTTCAGGACAAAACGAAGAACCAATGGACCGAGAGGGACTCCTTCGAGAAAGTTGCTGGCAAGTATGACATCGTACATATCGACTATAAAACTAAAGAGGTCAGCCATGATGATGATGATGATTGTGATGATGATGATTGTGATGATGATGATGATTGTGATGATGATGATATTGATGATGATGGTGATGATGACAGCCGAAACCGAAGATCAAAAAAGAAATTGAAGCTGCTCCAAAGGTACCTGAATCTAAGTTGCATCCAAAACTACAGGTGAGTAAGTGAGTGAGTGAATGGATGAATGAATGGATAAATGAATGGATGGATGAATGAATGAATGAATGAATGAATGAATGAATGAATGAATGAATGAATGAATGAATGAATGAATGCATGAATGCACGAGTGAATAACTGAATGAATAATCAATTGCCTATTTTCCAGTCAGTCAAATATCCAAATGAGTTTTTAATATGTTTACTTATTCTGTCAATTTCAATCAATCAATCCATTGATCAATTATTCATTTATCTACCCATTATTTATTCACTCATTCACTCACTCATTGATTCTTTCATTCATTCATTCAACTTAGGACCTAATTAGATTGATATACGACATTAAAGAGATGGAAAGCACAGTTATGGAGATGCAATATGACGCTAAGAAGGCGCCTCTAGGTACCAAACATTCTTTCGTTCGTTTGTTCATTCATTCAATCATTCATTCATTCATTCATTTACTCATTCAATCATTCATTCATTCATTCATTCATTCATTCACTCATTCAATCTCTTTCTTGCTGGACGACTGGTGGAAGGAACTTGTACGTCATGGTACTTTAAACACACACACACGCACACACACACACAGAGACACACACACACTCACGCACGCACACACAACACTAACACACAAAACACACACAAGCACATAGTTAACATATATTTATTACAAATAAATCGTATTACACCGGCATAATTAGTTTTTCCAACTTCCAGGCCAATTGACAGAGAGGCAGATCAGCAATGGATTCAGCACTCTGAAAGTGATAGAGAGGCTGATCAGTTGCAACTCTTTGGGTTCTTCTCTGGTTGAAGCCTGCAATACCTTCTATACGCAGATACCCCACTGCTTTGGGTATGTTTTTTGGTCTTTGTGGTGTATTTTGTGTTACTGGACTGTTTTTTATATTGTTTGGTTTGTTGTATTGGTGTGTTGTTGCTGTTTGTTTGTTGTGTGGTGTGTTGTTTGGTTTGTTGTATTGGTATGTTGTTGTTTGTTTGTTCGTTGTTTGTTTGTTGTTTGTTTGTTTGTTTGTTTGTTGTTACCATCATGCTTGTATTTTTTGTATCTTATCTGTATATTTTGTTGTATTTCTTTTCTATCATCATCATCACCACCATCATCATCATTACCACCATCATTATCACCATCATCATCAGCATGAGAAGGCCGCCACTCATTAACACCACTGACCATTTGCTGAGGGAGATGAAATTGCTTGAAGTCAGTTTATGGTCATGATGATGATGGTGTAGTGATGATGATGATAAAACGATGATGATGGTGTGGGGGTGATGATGATGATGATGGTGTGATGATGACGATGATGATGATGATGATGATGGTGTAGTGATGATGATGATGATGGTGTGATGATGATGATGATGGTGTGATGATGATGATGATGATGACAGACTTTGGGTG